TATATACGTATAACTGTTCATAGTCAATACTGCTTATAGCTGTTATTTCTTCTAAATAACAGTCAAAATAATTGAACGATTATCGTTAGCCTGTTTTAATAATTTCATTAAAAACAGTTTATGTTTACTGTTAAAACGTTTACGCATCAATATCACTTTTATATCAGCTAAACAATTGAGTTTCTTTTTTTAGCTTTATCTTCTCTTTTCTTTTTTTTGCTGTTACTGTTGCTGCTGTTTTATGTTTGTCTGTTTGTTTGTTTTCTTTTGTCGATTAAGATCAAAAATTTTGTTCATATTTTTCTTCATGTTTATATAATAATCACTGTAAATTGTTTTGTATTATAAAAAAAAGGAAACTTTAAAACACCACAGACACATAAACGCACACACACACACACACACTTTCACGCAGGCACACACATTAATACACACAAAAACATATTCGTTCACTCATTCACTCAGCAGTTCACTCATTCGCATATAAATTCATATAAAACACATATGTGATGGGCACGCACAGTATATCGAACAAATGGCAATTGGTATTATCAAATTACTACTGATACAGATAAATAAAAAGAGAGAAAAAAAAGTAGATGGATTAATTAGGTTAATCTGAATAGATAAAATGGATAAATAGATAAATGTATGTATATTTATAGAAAAGACAATTATCATATTTACTTACATACACTGCAATTTTAATCGACTGTATTCAACTGTATACCAATTTTTCATGCTAAAATTTTTTAGCATTTTCAATATGCTCTTCTCTTCTTTATTCTTGTTTTTTTTCTCTTCATTTTTTGACTTGAAAGCTTTGAATGGTAGAAGATATAAGTAAGATGAATTAAACTGATAAAGAATAAACAGTCAAAAAAAAAAAGAAAAAAAAACGAATAAACAAATTCGTATAAATAAAAGCTAAGGCTTAACGGTGATAAATGTTTAGGATTACTGGTTGTAAAACCAAAAAGGGAGAATGAGAGAATGAATAATAGATGGAAAAAAGGAACGATAGAAGATAAGAGAAGATTCTTCACACGTAATTAACTATGTAATACTATGTATACAAAATATTACGAAAAAAAAAATGGACAAGACAGAATCTTATGCAAAATTTTATCGAAGAAAAGGAAAGCTGTACAATTTTTTTTATACTGCTGTTATTCCTTTCCAGTAATCTGCTTCACTGATACACACAGATACGTAGTAACTGATCGTTTTCTGTAGCAGAGGAAATTGATGAGTAAAGGGTGAAAACAACGGAGATGAAGGGAACAATGAAAAGTAAAGAATGAAAATTTATAAAAAAAAAA